TAAGTGTTGTTTTAGAGTGACCTGATGTTTTTGTTTTATAGTGCATTTTTAGTAGTTGATACTTTTTAGTAATAAATATCCGGCTATTTCAGACGAGATAGCTCACTTTAAATTATGCCATGAGTATTGTCCTAAATCCCAGTTATCCCAGTAAAAGAGCAGTTCTATTAAAACTAAATTTTGGCGCTAAATCTAGCCCATAATTAGTGGAGTTCTCGTACAACATAAAGTACATGTAGTTACACTAACAAGCCAATTTGAGAACTAGATTAATTAAACCTAACTCGCAGTATTCTATGACCTAAAAACATGAATATATTAGGAAAGCTATCTGTTGACTTTAATTATTTGAATTTTTAATTTAGAACACAGTTTTACTTCATTTTACAGAAGTGATGCATCATTAAGGTCATCGGCACCAGCATCGCCAATAGCACGCTACTGAGCATCATTTTTAGCTCTTCGGATCCATTTCTGCCAACCATCTTGTAGATATCGTCACTTCATCTCACTTGAGCGCGCTCTACACTACCTCTGCCAAATCATACTCTCATAAACTAAATACGTCTATCCCAATAGTGATATAGACAATAATACTAATATGAAATTACTCAGATATCACTTAAATAAAAAATAATGTTTTTAGCAAAATCGCAGTTCCCGTATTTCGACAAAAACAAGCACAGTACCTACAAAATACTACGTTATTTTTCGCAATACCCACAAAATGTTGACTCTCTAATACCACAGTCTTTCGTGTCGGCTCAGCCAAAACACACCAATAAAGCGTTCATTAGTCAAATGAAATTCAATTTCCCGACAATAATAATGTTCTTCTTATTATTTTGCTGTCGTTTCGTTTCTCAGGACGTTGACCCCGACTGGAGACTTCATAGCTAGTGCTACTTAAGCTAAAATCCGTTACAATTTGATGGTTCTCGAAATTGTTAGCTACAAATTATTTTTATAGAGATTTTGTTGAATTTGTCAGTTTTGAAATAAAATTTAATTATACTTTTGTTGGGGAGGGTCTTTGATTAAGAATTTGTGGTCTATTTTAAGTTAAGTTTAAGTTAAGACAAGAACATGTAGGTTTATTTGGCCTCAGTTATCTTATCAACATCTATGACAATAATTGTGCATCTTTCTTCATACTTCTAGACTTTTAGACTTTCTTCAAATTATACTTGAGAATAATATACCTAACTAGGAACAACTTGCTTATGCATGAAAATAGAAAGGAAGAAGTTTAAATACGAAGTCAAAATATGTTAAAGACAACTTGGTTTAAAACTTTGCAGAACGACGTGATTTTATTCCTAACAATAATTTTATGTTATTTTCATGAGCGCTTCTTTTCAAGGCCGACCCCTCGAACTACTTTAAAATATTCCCTCCCTGTAATAGTTGCTTTCAAAAGTTTCGCAAACATAATAAATATTAAAGAACCTTCCTCTCTTGTACTAAAACAAAGGAATAGACAAACAACCTTTAACAGAACCAATATTCTAACATTAGAGGTACCTTTTACTGTAAAAAAGGAAAATTCATTCCAAAAATATTCCTTCCTTAGCAAATATATCGGGAATTCTAATTTCACGCATTTCCTTCGGGGGTGGGGGTTTGATCCCACAATAAGAAAGTTGTATAAAGTAGGGGGAAAGATTCTGTAATATTTTTCCGGGTCCTCTGAATAGGATGCAAGGATTTGTCAGCTTGGTCCACCTCAATAGACGGCTTTACGCTTGATATTATAAGAAAAATACTGTTCGTACGACCAAGGAGTTGCTACAGACAGATTTGCTCTATGGTTGTAGAACATTCTTTTTAAATCTGATTTGAAAAATAGAGCGAAGTTCTTGTTCTATTTTCGAAGCTTATATAAATATTCGTTGGTCGTGGTGGCGGTTCCAGGCCTAGATGATAGTAAATAGTGTCTTTTTGTACGTGCCACTACATGTGATAGAGGGATTAGATTTGTGAGCAGAAAAAGGTCACGGTCTCTTCACAAGAAAATGTTATATTGTAGGCAAACAAGATTGTTTAAATAGTTTGTTCATGATTTAGAAGTTTGCTGTGGGCCATGATTTATTGTGATAGCGATCAGAAATAAAATATACATTTTTATAGAGGTTGTATTTTATTCGCAGGGCTAAAGAAGATTCAGATTCTAATGTCAGACTAATATTTTTTATTACACGATTTATTTCTTTATGTCGCATTATTTACAGTTATATAGTAGACGATACGATAAGAATGGGGTATTTTCTATACAACATAAACGAGAAATCAAGCAAAAAGATAAGTAGAAGCTCCCTTTTATTCAGACAAAGTCGCGAGCGAGCAGCAAGTGTGCGACAAATTCCCAGCGATTTTGTTATCGTTCACCAAACTTCTCGATTCGTATTCGCGTACATTTTGTCGGTGGAAAGAACAAAATATTCAGCGAAGCATTTCTGTGGCACAAATCTTGTTGAATTCCTCCGATATTCCTATCTTTTGTGCGAGACGGTGTTTTTATTTCGCTGTAAAATAAATAGTATAATTTTCGCTTACATCTTTATTTCGTTTGTATGTTGTACGTTGTACTGTAATGTATTTGGAATTTCGTCTTTTGTATTTACTTGTGTTGGTTGTAAAAAGGCAAATAACCTGGTGAGATTGCTAGAGGAATCCCAGCGTGTAGTATTGTAGGTACATTGTACACGAAAGATGTGTGCTGTGTAGTGACTCGGATCCTTCTTTTGTTCCACGGAAAATGTATTTTCTTCGTCTTATGATGTCTATGCTGAATTGTAAATAACAGTATTATGAACATCGTGCTGTCTCTTTTAGGTTTTGCTATAAAGCCCATTATATTATTTAGAGCTCTGAAATATTTTATAGCTCGAGTAATTAAGTTCCATAGAATATTGAAATACACCATAATATCTTTCGGCAAATATTGTTCAGAAAGCAAACCGGTAGCTTGCGATCAGTTCTCACTTAGTTTGGAGTAAATAGACGAGTCGTACAATCATACCACATAGAGCTAAAACACAGGATGTTCAAGTATCGTTTGATTGAGCGTCCACTTACAACTTTGTATCCGACTCGGTTGCAACGTACTAAGTTTGCAATTACAGAAAACTGCACTATTTTATCTTAAGTGCAGTTTTCTTGCAAGTTTACTGGGGGAAACAATTCATTCGGTGCCCACTTAATCTCAGAGTTGAAACTGTCTGCGAATCGCCGACACTGTTTAAGAAGTTTTGATATAAATCCGCGGCACGGCGCCGCCCAAGTCCGCGGCATATCGTAATAAGGTGACGAGCGAAGTCAGCATTTATGACATTGATATTATCTGAGAAAATTTCACGAGTTGTGATCGGTTATACTTTTTGACAAATTCTACATTATACAGTTTAAATGAAGAAAGAAAAAGAAGATTTTGCGATTTATTCAGGAAGCCATAATTAAAATTCTTTTAAAATCAAATCGATTACTTTGATATTCGAACGAAATTTTTACCCGATAACAGCAGTGACCAAAAAGGCTTGCTCTGACAAAAATAGACGTACTTCAATGTCGCCGGTTGCAGAGAGATTGGCACCGTTCACTCTGTCGACACCCACCATTGAAATCCTGGCATTTTTCACTTTTACACCTCTATTCATTAAAAAAATGTTTTTAGTTTTTATTTTACATTGAACTGGCTGGTTTCTGGTGTTGGATTCAAACTAGAAATTTGATAAAAAGTGTATCAGCTGTCATTATAACACGTGGCACAAAAGGAAGGCGGGGTTCAAAATGGCGTGCGATGTGTATTGTTCTTTTGGTGGTAGCTACTTATTTCCTTACAATTATTATTACTTTTGTGCCACTATTTGGAATCGTAATTCAGAGATCTTTTATTAAACTGTCAAACACCAAGCGGTCACCGGTGACCGCAACCTATTGTTCTATAATTGTGTCTACAAAACAGGTACTCGACGAGTTAATTAACACAACCATTTCATCACATGGTTCAGTTTTTAGGTGAGGTTATTATTTTTTTTTCAGCCATGATCGTCCTACTGCAGGGCAAAGGCCTCCCTACCCTCCTTCCACTCCTCTCTATGTAAAGCTTTTTGCGGCCAATCCTTGTCATAGATGTCTAGTTCGTTGTCTAGGTGAGGTTAGGTTTTGTTATTTAGTTTTTACTTAAAGTAAAAACAGTCAAGGCCGCTTCACTGCACAAATTTAAAGTCAAAGCGCATACACACATTTTACATACATACATAACATCACGCCTTTTTATCCCCGAAGGGGTAGGCAGAGGTGCACATTTTGGGACTTAATGCCACTGTACAATGTAACACACATTTTCGAGGCATCAAAATTGAATTGTCCGTTAGTCTGTCTATCGAAGAGATAGGTGCTCATTCCAAATTATCGATTCGTATACTCAGAAGAAGAGGCCGTCCTCTTCTGCGAATAGTAGGTGTTATATTACCATATGCAATAGAAAATACTTCGTTCCACGCTTCATTTCTAGTTAGCTATGTTTGCGTAGCCATGTTGTTTTTCATTTTCATGTAAACTGAACTGGAATTGGAATCCGGTCAAATATTTACTATCAAAAATAACCTATGTTTCCATGAAAATGTAGATACGTGGTATTTTCAGTGAAATTCAACTATTTCCACTGAAACTTCGATATTGTTTTGGTTTCAATAAACACTATAGCAGTTTCAAACATTTCAGTTAATATTCCGTTTCTGAAAATTAATATTTTTAGTGGAACGAGCTATTTTTGGTTAATATAATCTGAATACATACGTAACAAACTTAAGTTTAAAAGTGCTGATGAAGTCTATGTATATAAAAGTTACTTATATGCCTAATATCTGACTGAAAATCTAAATTATTACACCAATACTAACGGACATTTTGTTTGCAAGGTTTTTCAGTGTTTAATCATTCGGTCCCTTGGATTGTTTTGTACATAATCATTAAATAGTGTTTTCATCAATACTTACAGTTCTGATGTCGCTCTCGGCACCATTTGCTAAATACTGCGTTTGTTTTAGATTGGGCGCTAGCAGTTGCCTGTGAACAAAAGAAAATATAACAATTTAATTCTATCAATAATACTTTTGTTTAGAAGTTTTCCACGAAGAGTCACAAAATTAAAACTTAACGCTGGTTGAAGAATCTATTATAGGTTACACGAACATTGTAAAAATCATTTATTTTGGTATCAACCGATATTTTTTTACAATGAACTCGTGTTTGTATAGTTTTAGAATAAAACACTTGAACATTGAATTATCCTACACACGCATGATCCCATGTGTGGGTTTTTTTTATCCTCAAAGAGGGCCATCACGGATGGGGCCCAATAGTGCTGATGCCGATACAGAGCCGCGTAGAACTTAACGGGGAACCGGTGCTCCAGCTCGAAGTGCAGGAGTAGAAACGCGGTGGTTTTTAGTCAATGTGTCTGACACTCCCTCCCGTCTCACCCAGAGAGGAGAAGCGATACGATGATTTTCCCCACTTAAAAAACCCATGTGTGGGTACGAGCCATTTTATGACGGTACCTATCATCAAAAAATAAAATTATTAAAAAACCATTCCCTTCCTCCACTAATGACGTCACAAACACCAACAAAAACGTAGAACCCAACAACATAATACTAGCACCGCACAGTCGGTTAGCTGATTACTTTAATTTGTAGGGAAACACTTTTTGTTATAATTTGTTGGTCGACGCAAAAGTTTTCGGTTTTTGGCGCCAGTTTACGACCGACCCTAACTGTAGGATATAAGCCTGTTTCGATTTTGGTTGAGTATGGATCTTTATGTATGCTGGTTTTGGCAGACCAAGTGATTATGGCCCGTGCCTGTATATTGTAGAATAACGAACTAATTTATAGCCCATTAGAGGATTTGCATATGGCACCATGTTAATAGGGTATGTTCTAAGGGTTCGTGCATTTTATAAAATATACTGTTTGCTTGGTTTTTGACATGGATATAATAGGTACAGTCGTGGTGTCCCGCTTCTCATGCATGAGGATGAGGGTTCGAAACCTACCAACGGCAAGTACCAATGTGACTTTTTCCGAGTTATATGTACTTTCTAAGGTTACCTAGACATCACTGACAAACGGTGAAGGTAAACATCGTGAGGAAACCTTTGCTTATAATTTCTAATAATAAGTTTGTAATCGCCAACCCGCATTGAGCAAGCGTGGTGATTAATGCTCAAACCTTCTCCGTGTGAGAAGAGGCTTTGCTCAGCAGTGGGTATCAGCAGTAACACATACATAACACCCATGTGTTATGTATGTCCATACATAACACCTATATTAACTTTTTGTTGTGCTTTATTCTCATGCTGAAACCCAAGGAAATACCTCTAACATATTGTTTAAGATAAACATAATTTAAATAAGATATGGTTGTAGGCTCGACTTCTAAAATGTGTCAATAATAACATTCCATTCTGAGAATATTTAGCATTATGTTACAGACCTATATTATGCTATTACAACTTTGAAAACCTATTCAACATAGCCCAAAATTAATCAAACATTTACAACGAAATTCAAAGTCAATTTTACAAACAAATTGAAAACCGTTGACCGAGAGTCCTAACCGAATGGATTCACTTAATCGAACATTACAAATAGTAGCTCTAAAATTAAACTAAGCTATAGCTTGTCAAATAGAATTTCAAAGCGGTATTAATGAAGTCCAAAGCGTTTGAGTTTAAATGTGATTATTGTGCGCCTTTGTTTTCCCGCCCTGCGATCAGCTGTGATTGAACGGCCATGTTGGATTTAGACGTTTTGTGTAGATGGCGTTGTTTTGCTACTGTATTTGTGACGTTGTGTATTTTAGATTGTCAATAGTCAAACGTGACGCGGGTTTAGTGCTCCAGTGATAGATTATTGTGTGAAAATCTGCTATGAATACGGGATTAGTCTGGTTATAATGGGGTAGACGACTAATTTTTATTTTAATGTCCGTCTGGTAGATTATTTAAAAACATTAGACACGTATTTTTTATTTTCTTACGGAAACGAATAGTTTCGAAGATATATTGATTTGAAATGTCGCGTGACGTCACTTCTCAGTACATTTTATACTAAGAAATGACGTTTTAGCCCCCACTCCTAAACTTTGATTCGTTTTATCTAAGTATTGTTTTATTATACAACAAAATAAAAAAATACGTGTCTAATATTTTTTTATTACCTAAGTTACGGACTAATTATATTTTTAATTTTCATACCCTGTCATCATCCCCATTGAGAAGGATTAGGTAGTATAGAGGTTATACATACGATTATATATACGAAGCTTAGCGATAGTTCTAAGTTTTTTTTTTCAGTGTAAAAACAACCCCATCTTTATATTTTTGGTAGATATTAATTAGTGTAAATATTTATGTAAATGTTTAGTCTCCTTGTTACACATACTGCAGTTTTGTCAAGCTATATATAAATATAAATTAGTACATCTTTTATAGATACATCTTAATTTCGGAATTTTCCCGAATATTCTGATAGTTATAATAAACTGAGAACAAAATGGTAACTGATTATAAGCTACTTAAGTGCAATTATACATTATAAGTATAAACTTGACACAATAATCTCCATTTTCGAACTAATTAAGAGCGATATTCGAAGCAATACGTGTAAATTCTTTTTGAACGATCTGACAGTGACGTAATGATGTAAATTAACGAAAATTGTGACGTTAATTAACAGGACGGGGTTAATTAAAGGTATTTATAAAGTGAAGTGGGTGTGAATGGGTTCTCAATTGTTATGCATTGTTTGTGTGAGGGTTGATGTATAAGTAGGTGCTAGATATTTGGTTAAGTATTATTCGTTAGTTGAGTAGGCAAACACGACCAACAGTGAGTAAATGGTATTCGGTTTACTGGAAAAGCAGTGATTTTGTGTTTATCGCTATCAAATTGTGTTAAGGTCCACATTAATATAAAATAGCATCACGCCTTTTATCCCCGAAGTGCACATTACGGTACTTAATGCCACTGCAAAATGTAACACCCACTTTTCACTATTTACGTCGTTCGTTGAGTCCCATGTAATTGTGGACATTAATAATATAAACGCTTAGAAGCATTTTGTCTATTTCAAAGTCAAGCGTTACCTTTAGATATCTACAATTAAATTGTAATAATGGTGAAATCAATAACCGCATCCATATTCCACTAGAACGCCAATAATTTAATTATCTCGCAGTAAATACCGTATCCGAGCCATCGAAGCCAAGTAACAAGAGCAACAAGACAGTCACGTAATTCCCAAAATTCCCACAACACGAAGTTCCCAGAACGGAGCTCAAGGGAAACTCGATTGTCTTATAGAAAACATAATTGAAAATCGTAATTTCCGCTTAAGAGCAGGCGCCTTTAATAATACAATCTAAACACGCGACAAAGCCATACAAACAGAATCTTATGAAGAACAAACTCATTGTATGATTTAATTTATCCGTCACAAACATAAATAAAAACTTCATGCATGTAAACAGGTTGGAAACTTCATATTTATGGAACGTGCTTAGCTAAGTAGGATACGACGACACGTCACATATTAAAAAGTTAGGGTTTCACATTAAAATATTTATGAAATTCCACGTGTTAGTGTATTTTTCTATATTGGTTGGTTCTCTTTTTTTACTTAGCTAAAAGAATACAGAGTTAGTTACAAAAGTCTCGCACGGAGCAACTCTTTGTGTGATCTCCAATTTGTTGTTCCAGGTCTGGGTGTGTATGTGTAAGTGAACTTTTGTATGTTTGTCAACGTACCCACCACGCAGGAGAAAGTCTTAGTATGTGGCAAAGTTTAAAAAAAAATAGAGCCTGCATGATACAAACACTTGAATAAATAAACGTTATTTGCTTCAGTCCTTTTTTTTTTTTTTTTTGACGGGGGAAAATCATCGAATGACTGCTCCCGCCTGGGTGAGGCGGAAGGGAGTGTCAGACTCTTACTGACTAAAAACCACCCCGTTCATTCTCCTGCACGTCGAGCCGGAGCCCCGGTTACCCGTTAGGTTCTCCGCGACATTTGCTTCAGTCTATATTAATTTTTAGGTCAGACTATTTCGTTCCCTACTACATTGAACTCATCATAAACTGGCGAATAGATGACGTACGTGTCTGTTATTGTGATGAAATTAATTAAAACATTTTCAAGTATTTGTTTTATTTCAGATCTGTTTGCACAACATACATTTTAGTTCCAAAACAAGTTTCCCACCTTTCAACGACAGCCTGTAGCTATTATATGCTACATAACATACTAAGCTATTTGGTTTAAACAGGGATGATTGTCAATAGAGAGTGCTGTGAGCCGTACGGAGCGCACCACTGCACGTGGCCCATAGCAAACATCTACACTATGTCATTGCATCCTTGTTAGCAAAGCCCCACCTCTGATGAATCCGTATTACAAGTGCTCAGTATTCGGAGATTTGTTGAACATTTTCAATATTTAATTGAGCATCGAGTCGTTTGAGTGACTGAGAGATGAGTTTACTTTGAGTAAAAATGCATGGTTTGAGATTGATACCAAATTGTTTGTTTTTACCTAGTAATATTTTTAGTAGAAGTAGGTACAACTTTGGACTCTTTATCATATAATAATTCAAATGGCTCTGTAAGTGTACTTAAAGAAGCAGATCAAAAAAAAATACCAAATTTTTGTACACCTAATAATGTTTGAAAATCTATATTGTGTTACATAGTCTACCTACTCTTTAGAGAATGTCTAGTTGTTGACGTTACATCAATGTCATATTGCGCCACAGTGTAACCGCATGCATGGCAGTACGCATGCAACCGTACAGACCGTGTGCTGTGCACTGAACCATCGCGTGTTAGTCTGTGGCGAGGTGCTGTGTACTTGTGAACGAGCTGTTTGCCTATGAAATACTCTCGCAATTGCGAATACTAAGCGAAGTCAGTTTCATGGTATAGTATGTGGTGATTTTCTCTGAAATGGATGGAACTGAGAAGTGCTGGACGTCCATTTCTTGTTTTGGTGTTTAATAGACTGTTG